GTCAAGTTTTATTTCTGATGAATAGGGAGAGCTTTCCGTTTGCATGTCTAGCAGACTAAACTATGATAGTAATGGTTGTATCCTTGGTTTAAGGTGGGTGGGAGATGTTGGGTGGACATAAATGATCCATTTTGACATAAGGTGTCTTAGTAGGTTTTTTTAAGGTCAGATATTATGTATATACTCAATAGGAAGTCCATGAGGAACAAACAGAGGTCATATAGAGGTCAACAAGGGCCTAGACACTGCAAGGACATCCCCACCTAAAATGTAATAAAGTGTGGTTGGTTTGCTCATTCAAATCTAAGCACTTGAAACAAAATAATACATGAAAAGCAACTTTAAAAATATCATAAACACACACTGAAGAAGGAAAAATAGCATTTATTCACCATAAAACCGGCACTCTAATTATCAAAAGTCTGAGAGGAAAGAAGATTTTTTTTACAGATGAGGGGTAGGGCTGTAATATATCAGAGACGTGGAGCGGGAAAATGTAATTTAAAAGCCCTAAAACAAATAAAAGAATCAAAGAATGGATTCTAAATAGATAGGCAGACAATGCAGTGAACTCTAAACTATTCAAATGTGCTCAGACTTGTGGGTGTAAAAGATGAGCAGCAGCATTTTGCACCATCAGCAGACTAGATGTTATGAACCACTGGCACCAGTGTTACAGTAATCCAGGTGTGTGGTCACAGAGTTGATCAGTATCTCTGATTGGTTTTGGAGAGGTTGGGCTTCATCTTGGCCAGTTACAAAAACCAAAATAGACTAGATCTGATGACACCATTGATCCCAGTGTCTAAAAAATAAATATTTCCCATTTAAACCCCTGATTTGTGGCTGTGGGCTTCGGATACTGACCAAGACTGATTGGACATTCAGAGACTAACAGGTGCCTGTTTCTGCAGGAACCTGAACAAAACTGATGGAAACACAGACAGTTCATATACATGTTCTATTTGACCCAATTTACTGGAACTAAAACACAATTAAAAGATCAAGTTCAGACTTGGCTTTAACTCCATAAGTAAAGGAGAGATGCAGCAGTAGATTTATGATGTTTCTTTACTGTGGTTTTGTTTCCTTTTGCTAACGTCTCACAGAATGTCCTTCCTTCTTTTTTCAGGTCTCAGTTTCCTCCTCTGCTGTGGAAACAATCCAGGTAATAGAACATTCTTCTCTCTTTACTGATTACTGGAGCTGAGAAGCTTGTCTGAATTCTTCATTTGATTCATTCATGATTCTCGTCTTCTGCTTCTGCATCATCATGTCACACAAGTAACATTTTCAGCAGAGAAACTCAGACATCTCTTTCCTCTACCTATATCCCATTTATTGAGATGATGGTGGTAGAATTGATTTGATGAGAGTCTGAGCCTCAGAATCACTGACTACAGTGAAATACTCTGATGATCATCAATAGACGTAAACTTTGATTTTGATTTATTCTGTTGCCTTTGGATCATCAAAACTATAAAGATGGACCAGAGAAAAAAAAGTGGAAGGTTGTTAGATTATACCGTATTTTCGCGAGTATAAGGCGCATATAAACGTCTTTTTTTCCCCTGAAAATGTGTGGCGCGCCCTATAGTGCGGTGCGCCCTATGTGTGTTGTTACTGTGGACGTTGTTGAGACCTCCATGAGAACGTTAAAGGGGGAAGTGTGGGCGTGGATTGACTGCCACGCAAATAGACAGAAACTGCCGCCTATGGTGATTTTTAAGAGAAAGACTTTGCGTAAAGAGACTTTTCCAGCTGGAATCGTTATTAAGGCCAATGAAAAGGGCTGGATGGATGAGGAGATGTTGAAAGAGTGGCTGAGGAGTGTTTTTTCCACGCATCACCATCGCTGTTAATCTGTGACTCCATGCGTGCCCATCTCACAGCCGTTGTGAAAAACAAGGTGAAACAAATGAACACTGTGCTTGCTGTTATTCCGGGAGGTCTGACAAAGGAACTTCAACCGCTCGACATCGGTGTGAACCGGCCGTTCAAAGTAAGGCCGTGAGCGGCGTGGGAGCGATGGATGACCGACTGGAGCCACAGTTTCACAAAAAGTGGATGGCAGCGCCGGGCAAGTTACGCCACCGTTTGCGGATGGATTGTAGATGCTTGGACTAACGTGTCTGCTGGCACTGTTGTTCGAGCTTTCGCAAAAGCCGGCATCATTTCCGAGGAGCCGCACGGCACGGAAAGTGACTCTGACAGCGAAGAAGGGGATATTGGCATGTCTGATTTAGTGCAGCTGTTTAATTCAGAAACAGAGGATGATGACTTCGATGGGTTTGATTAATACTTTGTAATAAATACATATATAAAGCACAAACATACTCAGCTTTGCTCCTGCTCTATTTTTAAATACGCAGTAGAGGTATTTAAACGTAGTAGAGGACATGTACCTGTATATAAAACCTGTGCCCTATAATCCGGTTATGTGGGTGTTAAATACAGTAATGGCACACATAACTGAGACTCCTTCTTTTAGTACGGTGCGCCTTATGGTCGTGAAAATACGGTAATTAGCTTTATTGTCCAGATGAAATCGGACATTTAACATTGAGACGTTAAATATATTTTCTTGAAATGAAGTGTCTCTAAATATTTCCCGGTTTCTTTCAGTGAAGATGATCAGATTTACTTATTTGCTAAGTGATTAAGGTCTTTGTCTATTTGGAAGTCATAAACAAAGGTTTAACTTCATCGCTGATGATTTAAATTCTAAATTCTCTATTTTTACTTGATATGCTTTTAACACGATGCCATCTAATTACACTGAAAAAAATAATACAACTGATTTTGGCATTAACTTAATCATATTCAGCTACTTTAAGACAATTGTTTTATTTCCTACTCTGTTAACATGAAACAATTTTGATAAAGTAACTAAATATGATTAAAGGAATAGTACACCCAAAACATGATTAGCCTTCATTTTCTACTCACCCCAATGCTGAACAACACTCTGGAGTACTTTTTTGGCAGAAAGGTCCATAAAAGTCCACAAAAAACGTGCCAATATTCCTCCATACTGCTTGTCCAATGTATTCCAAGTGTCCTGAGTGGGTAACGTCCATAATTTACTCGAAACAAAGTAATTTAGAATGTTTTTAGAGCATAAACAGTAGTGTATAGGATTTCCTAAAAGCGCGTTCACGAGTCTACGGAGACCGCGGCAGACCAAACCAGATGAAAGTGCGCATTCACCGTCTGCTCTGCTGATAATGCAAGCATAGAAGAAGAAATGTGCTGTTTACCTGTGCAAAGAAAGAAACAATGAAAGAAAAATGTCTGAGGACTTCAGTGTTGAGGAAGAGCATGAGTTCTTTGCCGAGCTGAATGCGCACTTTCATCTGGTTTGGTCTGCCGCGGTTTCCGTAGACTTGTGAACGCGCTTTTAGGAAATCCTATACACTACTGTTTATGCTCTAAAAACATTCTAAATGACTTCGTTTCGAGTAAATTATGGATGCTACCCACTCAGGACACTTGGAATACATTGGACGAGCAGTATGGAGGAATATTGACACGTTTTTTGTGGACTTTTATGGACCTTTCTGCCTCGGGCACCATAGACCTCCATTATTTGAATGTCAGCAGACAGCAAGAAGCCTCGCAGATCTCCAGATGCATTTGAGATATCAAAAAAGTACTCCAGAGTGTTGTTCAGCATGGGGGTGAGTAGAAAATGAAGGCTAATCATGTTTTGGGTGTACTATTCATTTAAGTAAATCCCAAAAACGGTTGCATTATTTTTTTCCTACCAATTTTCTCCTACCTAATTTCTCTCAAGGTCCTTTCTGTTATGTTTTATTCATATTTCATTAATAGCTGGAGAAAACAGTCATAGGTTTCCTCAGTAAATTGGGTTTGTTGAGTGTAAGGGCTCTTTGGATCCCAGAACGATAGAAATACATGAGACAGATCTATTCTTTCTTCAAGCTTTGATGACAATAGATGATTATCTTTAAAATAGAAACAAAACATTTTAGTGTTTTATTATATTCTGTCTAAGAGACAGAAGAAAAAACCCCTAAAAAAACTAGGTCACATGTCTTTACTTTTAGAAATATAAACCATGTCTTTTCCAACAGAACCAAGATCTTCCCTGACTGTGTCTCCATCATGGCTGAGTCCTGGAGCCTCAGTTAATCTGAGCTGTGAGGTTCATCCTCCATCTACAGGATGGAGGTTCTACTGGTATAAAGCTGTTCCTGATCGATCACAGAAGGACTACAGATATGAGCTGCTAGCTGACAGCATCAATGGGACTGTAGAGGACTCCTTCATCATTCATGGACAGAGACACACAGCAGGATATGCATGTAGCGCTGGAAGAGAAAACACAGCTAATTTAACTGATTACAATGATCCAGTGTTTGTCTGGTCTGCAGGTCAGAGTTTTTTTTTTTTCTATCAACGATCATGTGTTTAGGGAACACCATTTCAGCATATTTACCAACCTCACGTCCCACTGATTTAATGTTTAAAGTATTTACTTCACAGATTGGATCAAATCAGGTTGACAAGTAAATTATTTAAACAAACTTGATGAATCCTTAAATCTCCAAGTAAAAATCTGGTTTATCAACCAGAACTTCATCCATTGGTGTGAGTTTATCTCAGAATAAGAAATAAATAAATAAGTGTTTGGAAAGGAAAGAAATAAAAAGGACAATGATGGGCTGATCACTGTGAACGCTGTAAAATGAATTCACTATTAATACTTGCAGTATTTTTACTTTCATGATCAACTTTAAATATGTGGAGAAAGAGTCTTTAGGTTAGTGGGAAAGTCTGACTCTGAGGGGAAACACTGATAAGTTTACATGGGAAGAGCAAAAAAAAAAATGTTATTGTTGGGATCTGGAGGCTTGTCCACTTTCTCCACCAGAGATCTCCTCCTGAGGGCATGAGCTCACCTACACACCTGCTTCCTGTCTCCTCGTCAAGATACCTACTTAAGGAGGAGGAGACTGACACTCCTGTGCCAGAGTGTTTGCCAGTAATGGTTAGCAAAACCTGAGCCAGCCTGCCTGATCTATAACCCTGATCTTTGAGAACCTGTCTGATCCTGTTTCTCTCTTCCTCACAGATCCTGACTGTCCTGAAACCTGAAATCCTGGAAAGAGAAACCTTTGTCTGGAATCTGCCTGCCTGCACTTAGTCTCAGTCTCTGCCTCAGCCCTCAGCCCTCTGCCTGCCGACAAGCCTCTGGACTCATATGGTTCCCCCCCTGCTGATCAGATCCATCTCTGAGCAGGTATTTTACCTCGTCATCTGTAACTGCCAATTTTCCCTGGATCAACTCTAACTGCTCTGTCCTCCTCAGTGGTGTTCCTCCCGTGATCAGTACGAAGAACCCAGAACCAGTGCAACATTTTGTCTGTGAAACCTTGTAAATAAATCATTTAACTTTTTCCCTGTTTCCGAGTGTGTTTCTGCATGTGGGTTAGACGCCTTGAACCCAACATGACAGAACACTCTGGCCAACAAACTAGCCCCGCGGAAACACTGAAGAGGACCTTGGAGCAACAACATGTCCTCATTCAGAGCCATGACTCCGCCCTCCGTGAGTTATCTGAGCGTCAAGCTGAAGCTAACCACACCCTGCACGAAATAACAGACTTACTCCAAAGATCCAGCTCTCAGACCGCTACACCTGCGGTTGAAGCTGTTCAACTTCCGGTTCAGGACTCCAATCCACTTCCCAGGTCAGAAATTCCCCCATAATTTCCTGAATTCCGCCCATCTCTCCCCGAAAGATTTTCTGGAGACTCAAGTAAGTGCAAAGGATTATTGTTCCAGTGTTCCATAATCTTTAATCATTGACCTCAGAGTTTCTTGCTAGATGGAAGAAGGATTTTATTTATTTTGGAGTGGGCGGAGGCTAAATTTTCTTCTAAGATTGAGTACGGTTGTACTTATAATGAATTCATTAAAGAATTCAAGCAAGCATTTAACCAAGAGACTGATAAGACCACTGAATCCCGTGGATTGCTCGAACTAAAGCAAGGGAACAGAACAGTGGCAGAATTTTCCATTGATTTCCGTATCAAAGCGGCCGCTTCCGGTTGGGGAGAAACGGCGCTTAAGAGCGTTTATTTTCACTCCGTAGATGAGTCAATTAAAGATGAGTTGGCAACCGTAGATGAACCTAAGACTTTGGAGGATCTGATTAAACTGACAATCCGCCTAGATAACAGACTGCGAGCCAGATCCGTAGCCAGATCCAAGAGCCGTATTTTTCCAGTCACTACACTTCGTGAAAGGTCAAGTGAAAGAGCTAATGAAGCCTTTTCTCCCACAGTGTCCTCAGAAGCAGAACCCATGCAGATCGGTCACACCAGACTCTCCTGTGAAGAAAAACAAAGGAGATACAAACAAAACCTCTGCCTGTACTGTGGTGAGCCTGGACATTTTGTTGCAACCTGTCTCTCTAAAGTAAAAGCCGGGGTCCGCCAGAGGAAATGAGGGTCTGGAAACTCTCGAAATGGTTCAGTATAAATGTTAATAATCAAATATCTGCTGGAAGTATGGAATTATACAGTAACTGTGATAAACGATGAACTCAATGGCAAAATTATAGTTTTAGGTCAAGAACAGGATGGTACTAATGTGACTGCAGGGTCAGACTAACCTGGAACATTTTTTCTAGAGGGGTGAGTTCACTAAATCTGGAAGTAATCAGGATCAATAGTTTGTAAAAGAGATGATTTTGCTGTTTGACACTGATTCAGGAACTGTTTCTACATTTTTCCTTTAAAAACATTTGTTTGGTTCTGTTGTTCACTCAGGTCCTGTCTAGACCTAAACATCTTTGATCTGGGTTCAGATCCTTTGGCTTCTCAGAACCTACCATGACAGTAGTATCAGCGGCACCAGGATGAAGTCCAGTCATCTGAGAGTTTTCCTTATTTCCAGCAGCTTTTGTCATTAACCATCAAAGACTTTATTTCACTATTTTCATTTGAAAAAAAACATGTTGGTTGTTGTAGAAATGTAGTTTCTATCCTCAAGAAATGTATTTCTCCATGCTTAACTTTCATGTTTACATGATACTTAAATTCAAGTCAGTTTATTTATATAGTGCCAATTCACAACACATGTCATCTCAAAGCACTTTACAGTTCAACCGGATCATACAGTCAAATTGATTCAAAGTTTTCTATCTAAGGAAAACTAGTTGATTGCATTGACTCGTTGACTCAAATACAATTCCCTTACACTAAGCATGCTTGTAGCGACAGTGGAGAGGAAAAACTCCCTTTTAACAGGAAGAAACCTCCAGCAGAACCAGGCTGAATTTAAGTGGCCATCTGTCGAGGCCGACTGGGGTTCAAGGAGACAGAAGCAGAGATACAAAAGGCAACAGTAAAAGGTGTCCCCGTCCAGGAAACACACAGCCAGGCAGAGTCCGGGCCAACTCCCATGTCAGAGGAGGAAGAGAGCACATCCAGCCAGTCACAGTCAAAGAAACAGGACCACACTGGAAAACAGGCCGATCTCCAACATCTATAAACAAGGGTGTTGATGGCAGCAGCACAGCTAATGTTTCTCTCCAGGATGGCGTCACAGCCAAACAGGAACAGACAGGGCAAAGCTACTATGAGAAAAAGCAGAGAGAGCAGAACGTTAGAGATTGAACTAATAGATTCTGCAGAATAGGAGAATAGAGAGAGAATGAAGCAGAATTATGAAATGGGGGTCTCTATGTCCTCCAGCAGTCTAAGCCTATAGCAGCATAACTATTTCTATTTTTCTATTTCTATTTTTAGAAATTCTAGGAACCAGTAGTAAACCTGCAGATTGAGAGCGAAGTGCTCTGTTAGGAACATAAGGAACAATCATATCTGTCAGGAATCCAGTTTGTGTGGTCTGTTTCTGTGTTTCCTTTCCTCCTCCACTGAGCCTGAACTAACCGCAGTGTCTTCCCCTCACTTTACAGTTCCGGTTCGACAGAGTTCAGAGCAGCACTGGACTTGTTAAACTTTTCCCTGGTCTCTCTATTTGGTCTTATAAGATGGAGCTTGGCCATTTAAGGCTTTATATGTGAGAAGGAGGATTTTAAATTATATTCTGGATTTAACAGGAAGCCAATGAAGAGAAGCCAGGATAGGAGAGATATGATCTCTCTTTTTAATTTTTCATCAGAACTCTGGCTGCAGCATTTTGGATCAGCTGAAGACTTTAACAGCAAGCAAAGCAAGCAAATAATTACAACAGTCCAGCCTTGAAGTAACAAATGCATGGACTAGTTTCTCAGCATCACCCCTGGACAGGAAATTTCAAATTTTTGCAATATTCCGTAGATGAAACAAGGAAATTCTAGAAACCTCTTTAATATGGGATTTATATAACAGGTCCTGATCAAAACCAACACCCAGATTTTTTTTACTCCATCTGAAAAGACTATAACTTCTGTTTTGTCTCCATTCAGAAGAAGAAAGTTAAGAGTCATCCAAGTTTTTATGTCTTTGAGACATGCCTGTAATCTATGTAATGGGTTAGCTTCATCTGGATTTATAAACAGATATAGCTGGGTATCATCAGCATAACCGTGAAAATTAATCCCATGCTGTCTAATAACTCTACCGATTGAGAGCATATATATAGTTAGGAAAATTGATCCTAGCACTGATGTCTGTGCTACTCCACAGGTAACCTTTGAGCATGAGGAAGATTTTTCATTAATATGAACAAACTGAAATCGATCAGATAGATAAGATTTAAACCAGTCTAGTGCTGCTCCTGTAATTCCAACAAAATATTCAAGTCTTTCTAAAAGAATATTATGGTCAACTGTATCAAATGCAGCACTGAGATCCAACTGGACAAGCACAAATACAAGTCCATTATCTGTTTTTAAAGTGACCACTATTTAATAAATTGGATTGTATTTAATGTATACACTTTATTTTCGCCTACCAGCCCCATCGTCTTCCTGCTGAACAGAGTCTACAATCACTTGGACAAGGCGGCGAGCACTGTGAGAATCATGTTCTTTGATTTCTCCAGCGCCTTCAACACCATCCGCCCGGCTCTACTAGGTGAGAAGATGACTGCTATGCAGGTGGAGGCCCCCAACGTTTCCTGGATTGTTGATTACCTGACGGGCAGACCACAGTATGTACGCCTACAGAACTGTGTGTCTGACAGGCTTGTCAGCAACACTGGGGCCAAGGGGACTGTCCTCTCCCCCTTCCTCTTCAACCTTGTCACCTCGGACTTCAGCTATTGCTCTGAGTCCTGCCACCTTCAGAAGTGTTCTGATGACTCAGCAATTGTTGGCTGCATTGAAAAGGGTGAGGAGAGTGAATACAGGACTGTGGTGGGCAACTTTGTCACTTGGAGTGAGCTGAACCACCTGCAGCTCAACGTGACAAAGACTAAGGAGCTAATAGTGGATCTGAGGAGGACAAAAACACCTGTGATCCCTGTTTCCATCCAGGGGGTTCCTGTTGACATTGTGGAGGAGTATAAGTACCTGGGAGTGTACTTTAAAGATAAGTTGGACTGGACTAGAAAAACACTGAGGTGGTCTACAAAGGGTGCCAAAGCCGAGTATTCTTCCTGAGGAGGCTGAAGTCCTTTAACATCTGTGGGACGATGCTGAGGATGTTTTATGAGTCAGTTGTTGCTAGCACACTCTTCTTTGCTGTCACATGCTGGGGCAGTGGGCTGAGGGTCGCTGAAAACAACAGACTGAACAAACTGATCAAGAGGGCCGGTGATGTTGTGGGGGAGCAGCTGAACACTCTGACCTTCGTGGCAGAGAGGAGGATGCTGTCGAGGTAATTGACATTTATGCACTATTTTTGCACGCCACGTATCCCTTTACTTGGATTTATCACTTACTTGGATTTTCACTTTATTTGGATTTAGTTTTTACATATGCATAGATATACATACAGATATATAAACAGAAAAGCTATATGTGTATATATTTTATCTCTTTTTATTCTTATTTTTTATCTTTATTATATTGTATAGTTGGATGTGTGTATATATTATATAAAACTGTAACTGGAGCGTGTAACAAAAGTAATTTCCCTCTGGGATTATTAAAGTATTTCTGATTATTTTATGACCTATACATCAGGCCTGATGAGTGCATGGGCATGTGATCAGATGAACGGCAATGAGAAACTGGGTGGAGTTAGAAAGGTGAACGAAATTAGCAATTAAGTCAAAATAATAAAGCAAAGTGATTAAGCCAATTAAAGTAAGATATTTTGTCTTGGTACTGAAACAAACATTCATTTCCGTTTTTTAAATTCAGATTTTTCACATCAAGAAGAAACTGGCTGGTTGGGCTGAGTGCTCTCAGTGTGTGGTTGTTGAGATCACAGATATAATGGAATTAGATTCTTTAAAAGTGATTAATCAAATTATATTGATGTG